CATTACAGATTGGATTGGACAGATTCACTCAGCTTCATAAATTGGACCAAATATTATGACAAAGAAGACTTTGGCCACAACAATACCTGATTCCATCATATGTACTTTTTAAGAAAATTGAGATTATATGTTGTTGTTGGCCATACTATATGTACATGCTATGTAAGTAGGTAGGACTGCCTGATTGGCCCTACTGGGCAAAATATATTTGACCTATTATTGGGAGGATTCATATTAATGGCTTTTTAGAAATGAAAAAACCCTCAATTGAACTGATTTCCAAAGGTTGGAGTTGACTTATCTAGCCTCCACTTGGAGTTGGAAATCTTAGAAAAAACCTGAAGAACCTTTCCACTTTTCTTTGCTTCTCAATGACCACTTCATCCCAATAGATGTGGTATTGTTTGATTTGGATGAATATTGTTCAAATAGAAAGGACTGGGAAAGACATGTATCATTAAATGGCTTTGGATGCATGAGAAAAGCTGGGATAAAGCCTATTTAAATTCATTTTCAATAGATGGTTTGGACTATCTAGCCTCAATTTGTAGTTCAATATCTCAAGAAAAACATGGAGAACCACCCCACAAAAAATGGTACCCAATGGACCAGTATTGCAGCCTGCAGAATTTATTTATTTATTTTGGAAAAGGACCCCAGACACCCTGTGACAGCTTTGGTATGATGGTATCATACCATCTGGTATGGTATAACATGACATGGTATGGTATGGTAACTTGGTATTGGTATGAGTGGGATATGGTATGAGTTTTCCATTCCATGGTACCATGGTATTGGTATGGTGCTTACATACCACTCTGGAATGGGTACCCTTGAGGTACCCTTAAATCAAAGAATTCATATACCTCGGGGGTACCCTAAAATGGGTGACTGAAGTGGGCGATTCTTGATACTTTTCTAAGTGCTATATATTCAGAACTGGATGCATCCCATATGATGTGGGTGTATGGAGACGGTAAGCTACTGGGCTGATCTTTTTGATAATTTCAAATGGACCTTCGTACCTTGCTAGCAGCTTGTCACCTCTTCCTTTTTTGTCCTTTAACAAACCAAGGTTCCTTTGATTGATAACGACCTTGTCTCCCTCAACAAATTCCCAGCTAAGTCTTCCTTTGTTGTACACTTTCTTTTGAAATACTTGCCCTAGGAAAAGCATGTCCCTGGCTCTTGCCCTTTCAGCAGAGAAGCCTTCTGCCAAATTGAGCACTTTGTCGTGTAGCATGTCCTGATCGACATTCCCTGAATCCAAATTTCCTGTTCGATCGATACTTGATGGTCATCCTAAAATGGAAGAACTGGTTATAGGTTGAAATCCATGTAAGAGGTAGGCGGGACTGAAGCCCGTAGTGGTATGTGGTGATGAATTGTAAGATAGCGACAAGGCGTCTAACATTTTACTCCAGTCATCATGGGCAGGGCCGATATAGGCGCGGATCGAGATCTCCAAACCCTGGTTCAAGATCTCCGTTTGTCCATTGGCTTGAGGGTGGTATGACGTTGTCAGGGCTCACCTGATTCCCATCAATCAACATATTTCCTTCCAGAAATCGCCCTGCCATCTCGTATCCCTATCCGAAATGACCTGTCAAGGGATACCAAACTTCGAAATAACATGCTTGAAGAACAACCTGGCGGTTTCTTCCTCTGTGATCCTTGTCGTAGTTGGTATTAGAATCACATACTTGGTAAGTTTATCTACAATTACCAATATGTTGTCAAATCCTTCTGAATCTGGCAGTTCTGGTATAAAGTCCATACTAACCACCTCGAAAGGCTGCGTTGGCACTGGTATCGGTTGTAGCAACCCTACGACTGGTGGCTACCACTTTTATCATAATACTAAGGCATATGCCTAGAGCTAAATATCTATATCTCAAGCATAATTATGAAAGCCTTT